TCGCGGCCTGGTGAACCTGGAAGACCGATGTTCGACTGGACTTGGGTCCCGGCCTGACGAGGGCTGTTGAGTCTGGCATCCGCTGCAGACTCACTACCAAATGAGGGAAAGCACGATAAGCTGGATTGCTGTTGGCGATGGTAGGCAGTGAGGATACTGAGTGTGGGAACAGGAAGGCACAAAAGATGGTACTGCTTAGCTTTAACAGTCATGGCGATAAGTTAAGATTGTCAGAGTGGAACTGATCCTCTTTCTTTTCTACGTTCATAAGTAGGCTTTAGAGATTACCAGTAGATCACATACATGAGTGTATTCATCTGATTTTGTTTAGGATGATTACAGGACTGGTAGTTGAATTTTCCCACCATCATATGAGTTGACATGACGTTTCAATTTAATTTCACACTGCCTTGCTTTCTCAAAGCGTATTCTCATCCCGACCGGACTGGACTGCAGTTTCGATATCTCCCAGGTCTTATCAACACTTCCAGCTGAACTCGAACCATGAAACTGCAGAGTATGATCTCGACACGTTACCCACTACGCCACACATTGCCATGAATGCATTTTGGTCACAGGGCAGATGTGAATGTCAAGGAAGGTAGTTAATGGCTATAGCAAATATAACTTTGTTTTATCGGCAATCCCACCACAGAATGTGATACGAGAAAATGCCTGGCCTTCCTTGAAATTCACATCTGCTCTGTGACTCAAAAGCATTCGTGGCAATGCGTGGCGTAGTGGGTAACGTGTCGGGATCATACACTGTAGTGTCATGGTTCTAGTCCCGCTAAGCGCGCTGATGGGACCAGCCGACGCGAGGTCGATGATGCAGTCCACACCAGGCGGGAGGAGAATGACCTTTGAGAAAGCAAGGTCATGTGAAATTCAGTGGACAAGTCATGTTAACTCATATGATTATGGGAAAATTCAACCGGCATTTCCTTTATCACGCTAAACGAAATAGGATGAATATATTTCATAGATATGATCCTCTTGTGCCGGCTGCGGCATGATCTAGGATCGGGTGTACCGTAAAAGCAAGGGAACACGTCTAGACAAAACCGAAACAATTTTGAGTACCGAGGTGTGGCTGCCTGAAAGGCTTCAAAGGAGAAAGAGGTGGACTGCGTCAACCTGGGCGTCATCTAAAATCCAAGCAAATGCAGTATAACGTGAATTGACAGTCATCTTCTGCTGAAATCGACCTTCGAATCTCTTTATCATACGAAATGAAAGTCTCCCAAACTAAACTTACTTTAGACACTTAATAGTGGCATAGAATAATAGCCTTCCAACTTCAGTCGGAATGGGCTAAAAATAAATTAAAACCCATTTGGCTATCAGCCAAAGGTTTGTTTGAGGCTCAAAATACCCACGATTCCGCCATATTAAGAGATACTTTTTAAAAATATAATGTATTTAAGACCAGAAACAGCATGGATAGATGAGTTTTGCCATCTTCAATAGACAGAATAAAATAAAATAAAACTGACCTTGCCCTAATGTTGATATCATTTATCCTTGCCCTGA